ACCTCCGTTATTGGTTTTTCAGTGGATGGCAGCATAAGTAGAAACTAGAGTTGTGACAATGTTGAACGGAAGATTGATTGTTCCTTTTTAATATCAACCAATTTGTCAAAAATCGATTTTTAAAGCAAATATACTAAGTGACATATAAATCCGAACACCCAGTTTAAATGGTTTTATTTTAATAAAATTTTGTATAAGTACTTAATGAAGCATAATAAGTAAATGATAAAAATTTCAAAATGATTGCACTGCTTTAAAGCCCTTTGACCTTTAATAATGTGTGGATGCACCCTGATGTGCTACGCATTCTCCAATGCGCCTAGGCATGCTTCTGATCAGGTGGTCAATGTCCTCCTGTGGTATCTCATTCCAGGCAACCACCAACTCCTCTCGAAGTGCTTCTAGAGTCTGAGGAGGACGTTGCAAATTGAGCACTCTCCTACCCATCATATCCCACACGTGCTCAATTGGGGATAAGTCGGGAGATCTTGGTGGCCATGGTAACAATGTGACATCATTATGTTGAAAGAAGTCTATTGTGACTCTTGCAACATGTGGTCGGGCATTATCTTGTTGGAAAGTTGGATCTGCCAGGGTGTCAAGATAGGGTAAAAGATGGGGTTCTAGAACTTCTTGGATATAACGCTGCGCGTTCATGTTACCTCTGATGAAGATTAAAGGTGACCTGGAACCATAAGCTATAGCACCCCAAACCATAACTCCAACAGTGTGATGAACATGTCTTTCAACAAAAAACTGTGGATTCCTCCTTTCACCACGTCGCCTTCTAACCCTGGCACGACCATCGTGCATGCCTAAACAAAATCGAGACACGTCACTAAAGACAATACTGTTCCATTCCTGATCCCAGAGTGACCGTTGTCTGCACCACTCAAGGCGATTACGTCGGTGTTCTCGAGTTAAAGGGAGGACCCAGTGTGGCCGGTATGAAAACAAGCCAAAACTTCTCATTCGTCGGTAAACACTTCGCATGCCAATAGGTCTTCCGTGTTCTGCAAACCATTCATTTGCAATGGACCTGGTAGTGGAGAAACGGTCCCTTAAGGCCAATAATCTTAGGCGGCGATCTTCACAGTCTATTGTTCTACGGCGGCGTCCAGTGCCCCTTGCTCTTTGCGTACGGCCTTCTCGAAGCCATGCCTGACAACACCTAACCACAGTGTCTACACTTCTTTGCACTCTAACTGCAATTGCCCGAAAAGAAAGTCCAGCTTCCCGAAGTCCCACTATACGGCCTCTATCAAACTCACTAAGTTGACGAAATCGTACAGGTCTCCGTACTCTAGGCATCGTAACCGATCGTACAGGATGTCAAGAAAAAATATCCGCCAACGTTGATTCTTTACTGCGGCTGAAATATTCATTTTTAGAGCGTTAGTGAATTAAAAAAAAGCAGTATAAAAACCGGAATGTCCAACTTATAAGGCTGAAAATTTTTTCACTTGTTATTTACAGTAAGATAAATACATTCACCAACTTTTATTAAAATAAAACCATTTAAACTGGGTGTTCGGATTTATATGTCACTTAGTAGTTCGTTTTTTTTGGAATTCTCGATTCGCGCAGGAGGGAGGCTTACATTTTAACATAGGTAGTGACACGTATTGAGCCCCCAAGGCCCTTGAATATGTCAGCGATTACCAGATGTTTTTAATTGTGTCGGGCAGATGGCGTGGTCCCTTATCTACTAGGTCATGCTAGAGAAGTGTCAGTTTACTACTAACTTTTGTATCTGTCAGTGATGGGCGTTTATGTGTATAATTTATTATACAATATATACAATGTATACAATGTATACATTGTATACAATGTACACAATATATACAGGGAGGCCCATCCATGTGTGGACTGAATATTCCTCATAAACAAATACATTTTGGAAAAATCTATTTATGACATGTTATACACGACATTTGAGGGCACATTTCTGAAATATTGGCAATTATACAGAGTGTCCCAATTTTGACCTACATATTAAAGTTGTGATTTTTTAAATGGAATGCCTCAAATTTTATTGCATATTTGGATAAGCCAATTCAAAAGAAAAAAATTGGTATAACAACATACTATGAGGTTTTTGCAATTGGCTACTGAGATGTAAGGTGTTTTGTCCAGAAAAAAGTCCACTTCGGCAACCCCTCAATCCGCCATTTTGAAATTTGGAGTGCTAAATTTTTTTATCAAAAAAAACTTGCACTTGCTTTTACAGCTTTTATTTTATTTGTACTTTTTCGAATTTTCATTTTTGCTCATACACGGTGGTCAAAAACGCGAATTGTACTTTTTCTCAAAAATTTCAAATGCATCACCCTGCATATTTCTGCAAGCTTGGGTTCAATTTTTTATAAGCTTTTTTTGGTATAAGGTTTGATTCAGATAAAATCACTAGATTTTGAGTTATTCAGCTTTTAATAGAACCACACACCAAAATTAAGGAAAAAAATCATCATCCATAGAAATAAAAGACAAACAGTGGGCTAGTTCCATATTGCTACTAAGAGTACAGATTTGACGTAAAAACGAATAACAATCAGAACAGTATAAATTAGCTTCAAGCGTAATAGAGAAAAACAACTATAACAACAACATAAACAAACAACTATCAGTACTTGGATAAATGACCGCTGCACATCCCTCAGCATGTGTTCCCTTATGTTCAGAAAAGCAACCTTGATCCCTTCCTTCATATTTTCCGGGGAGATGGTGGATATCTATAAGCCTCTTGCTTAACGTAGCCCCATAGAAAGAAGTCCATCGGTGTCATATCTGGTGATCTAGGAGGCCAAGATATAGGTCCATCACGACCGATCCAACGATTGTTACTCCAGGTGTCCAAATAGTTACGCCCATGATAATGATAATGCGCAGGTGCGCCGTCATATTGGAAGTACGTATGCATCCCAGTTTGCAGGTTGACATCCTACAAAAGCAAAGGCAAATGCTCGATCAAAAAATTCAAGTCAACTCCTACCCAAACATTCAAGCTCTATTTAATTTGGAAATCTATTTGCCTAACCCAGTAAGGGTTTTCCGTCGCATAATAGTGCATGTTATGCCTTTTGTTAAAAAAGTTGCCTCATCGCTAAAAAGAACCTTATCCAGGAAAGTAGTGTCTTCACTCACTTTATTTATTCTACTAAACTCCATTCGAGCTGCGACATTCTGAGGACGAAGGTGATGCAAGCATGCTTGTGAATAATCCTTTGGAAAGAAGTTCTGCATATATCAATTTCTGCTCCAATTTGCCGTGCACTTAAATGCGGATTTTTCTGCAACTTTAATAGAACCTCCAACTGATTCGCCTCATTGGTGACACTTGAATTATTTATACATTTTTTACTATATTCCACTGCTCCATTTGATTCAACACGTTCTCGTAGTGTGGAAAATGTTTCCGTCCTTGGATGTCGCATCTTAGGGTACCGTTGCTTATAAATGCGAGATGCTAGGAAACTATTTCTTTGGGCAAAACGAACACCACATTCACTACTTCTTCTTTAGAAAAATATATTTTCAAACACATTTTTATTATAATGCCCACAAAGATAATTTTGACAGTTTGTAACTAATCAACAATTTATTTGTTTCCAAGCGATATTTTAGGGAATTAAGCCGTTCCATAAAAGACCTGCTAATAACCGAAGAAATAGCAGTAAAAACCCATATGTCTGTGGTATCAAAAAACGCTTATCAAAAATTGAATCCAAACTTGCACAAATATACAAGGTGGTGCATTTGAAATTTTTGAGAAAAACTACAATTTGCGTTTTTGAGCACCCTATATGAGCAAAAATTAAAATTCGAGAAAGTAACAAATAAGATAAAAGCTGAGGTGTGTAGGTTTTTTTTATACAAAATTCAGCACTCCAAATTTCAAAATGACGGACTGAGGGGTTGCCGAAGTGGGGGGTTTTTCTAGACAAAACACTTTATATCTTAGTAGCTAATTGCCAAAACCCCAAAGTATGTTATATCAATTTTATTCTTTTGAATTGGTTTATCCAAATATGCAATAAAATTTAAGGCAAAATGTATTTGCTTATGAGTACAGAATAGCATGAGTGAGGTGAGGTTTACTCGCAAACGTCAAAACGTTACTGAACCGTGAACCAGCAACTACAAATTGTTGAGGGCGCTGAGGACAACGAGATTGCTGAAATAGGGCTTATTTAATTCAAAGACGAAGTATCGTATCGTAAAAGGATTTTTCTTGCCTGATACAAGCACAACTCAAATCAGAATTTATACCGAAAAATGCTTTTGACCTTGTAGGAATATTCGCAGTCAAAAAATAGTCCATGCCTCGGCTGTAATCGCAGACAAAGCCACATCCCTCGCCCAACAGGTCTCACAGCATCTTCAGTAAGTACGGAAGCTCTAACAGGAGACAACAATGGTATTCGGATGGAACACAGTGATGCACAAGTTGAGTGGTAAAAGGTAAAATAAGAAATGTACCTAATTTATTTGAAGCTATAACTTTGTGTATATAAAGAATAATAAATATCTATATTTATACGGCTTGAAATCATTCAAAAACCACTTTTACAGCCCTTGCACATATTCAAGCGATCTTGTTGAACTATGATGCTATTCTATACATTGTCTACTTTGTTTACATTGTATACATAAATATCAAGACGAATACGTAAATCACTGGTATCTGTCGTATTTATGGCGCTGTCCACAAAAAATCGATCAATATGGGTAAAATTGGGTGTCGTATGAAGACAGACAAGAAAAACACAAACAAGTAGGTTCACGAGTCGTCTTTTTAATTACGGTGGTCAACATATATCCGTTTATAGAACGGCAACTGTCATTTAATGTAGGCCAGAGGTGTCAAGCTTTGGGAAACTGTTTGTAGGTGACAGTTGTCAGCGTTGTCGCCTGTTTACACACAGAAAAGAGACACATTAATTTATTCACTTACTGTGAATTCTAATAGACAACACTTATGGTCTACAAACCAAACCTACCTTTGGTAATGTGAATATACTTTTTGGTTCCGATCACAGCTAGATATATGATGATGGGTATCCAGATCATTGGTACCACGTACCATGGAGTTATGGTAAGGTATTCCAGAAGATCGCTGTCAAATAACCTCAGTCGCCTGTCTACTGGTGATATCACCCATTCACTATATTTTGTTCCTAGTTTCCCAACTTGACTCAGCATGGGTTTGTTCCAGTCTACCAAACGCTGCAACATGTATAGGATTAATAAGAAGTAGTAATGCGCATAGCATTTTCAGGTGAAAGAATATCGGAAAACATGCTTATTGATACGTTTGGCTCAATAATAGAGAGCTTTTTGTCGTGGTTGTCGGATCAAGCTGATTTAGTTGGGGGATATATAACTACAGAACTTCAGGTAGAGATCTAGGCGATTTTATCATATGTATTGTATCTCGGATAGACAACGTCTAGGAGGCACCAGCAGGTGATAGTCAATGCCGTTAAGGAATAAATGTTCATAGAGAGAGTTTATTATTGATCAGGGAGACCTGATAGCTCGGTGGTATAACCCGGGGCTGGATGGTTCGAATTTCCGCCTGGGATGTATAATTCCGAGGTATGGATGTTGCATTATACAGGGTATCCGCAAAGTTGGGGTTTTCCTTTTCAGAAACAACTACCCTTGAAATAACAAAGGTAATGTGTAGTGAAACGAGGGCGACCAAGTAAAAAAAAATAAAGGAAAAAGTACTCACTCTCCAGTTGACGAGAAGGGCTAAGTATGTCTCTGCCCGAAATCATACCGCTCCAACAGAAAATGAAATCAGCTGAAGCGCTACCGAGCAGACGCAGAAACCACATTGATTGTCTTACACTTAATGGCACATCTTCTAACAAGGAAGGCAAAATGTTGCGTAAATAGTGTAGGTATTGCATCCCGTCCAATCGATTTGGGAGAATAAATGGCCCAATGAGCATACTGTTCACCATGCCAGCCCAAACATTCACCGAAAATGTTTGTTGAAAGTGTGCCCGACGGACAGCGTGCGGATTTTCTACTGACCAAACATGAGTGTTGCGAAAGTTATTCACCCCATTACGCGTGAACGTATATTCGTCTGTCACCAATATGCACTTCAAAACCGTTTGCCACACTTTAGTTTTTGATACTTGCACTTCTCTAGCCACGTCTCTAGTGCTTGTTGAGCGATTCTCGTCTACGCGATTACCTCTACATGCGTGACCGTAACCCTCGGTTGAAGGTTGCATACTGACCTGGCACACTGACCCCGACAGAGTTCTGCCGTCGGGTTGAGACCTTGTACCAATCGGTGATGTCCCGGGTCGCGGCTACAGGACGGTATTCAGATATTTTTGATGTTGCAGAGCCCTTTATCTCGGTTCCCTTAAGACATTGGTGTATATGGTACTGAGAAAAATTGCTTATGTTTTCAAGATCTACACGTCGTGTAAAGGAAAACCCCAACTTTGCGGAAACCCTTTATATTGTCTATATCACGCATTGCTGTAGCTTGTTTGTGATATCGGTTACCAGTAGATCGGTCATCAAACGTAGTCTAGTTGACAGGCTTCGCCTCCTTACCACCACCACCACCACCACCACCAACAACAACACCACCACCACCACCACCACCACCACCACCACCACCACCACTACTACTACTACTTGATGTAGGTCGCCTTGGCAGGTGGAGATGCCTAGTGTCTTGGAATTAGAAGGCATACCGTGGACAGGGCCCAGAATCATCTTGACTTTCGCGTAAGTTGTTGCTCTTGGAAATGCCTTGTGGCTAAGCTTAAGACCGCCATTAGCACTGATAAAACATATTCACTCATCACTCCCACCACAGATGATTGGCTAGAAGGCGAGATTGTATTCCTGACCTATAGTTGGTTTGCTTTACAGACGAATCTCTATTGAGACTCGATCAAGTGAAGGACATATATCTGGAGGGCAACGAATTGAAATGATTTGCAAGATGGCTTTGCAGGCCAAAACATATGCTTTGAAGGTGGTATTATCTCCAAAGTCAAGGTCAGTTTTGGTACATAAGCTCTGGAAGATGTGACCATTTTGTAGGCGCGTGCATCAGGTAACGAAAAAAAAATAGATCAGGCAGGCCTAGGGGCCAAGAGCTCTTGTATTTGGCTCCAAGTGAGTCTGAGAACTAATTAATACGTGGGGGCATGGCATACGTTTTGTCCTATGACAAGTAACTACAATGCTGCTGGGTTGTGGTTACAATTTTATGAAGTATACCGTTTAGTTAGCCCAAATGTGGGGAATCACCATTTGGCAAGCAAATTAATATTTCTGTCGCTATGGAGTCCTTCCCGACTGTTGCCTACTTTCCATAATTTTTGCGGTGGTCTATAAACCGAAACATAGGAGGGCCAAACTGAAAAAGTATTTGGGGTAAGCTCTCCTTGAGGACCATTGAGAGACGGTATTCAAATTCCAAACGGAACTTACGAAGGCCGTTTTTTAAGAAAGAGCTGTTTTGTAATGGAGCCAGGGAAACTTTATTTTTTGTATCACAAATTAAGATATGTGATCTTTTTAATTTTTCGCTAGAAAGCAGACGCCGCTGGCGATTTTGGATACGTGAAAAGTAATGGCGGCGTAGTGAGCGACCGGCCAAGAGCGTCTGAGAATGAACTGATGTCACGTCACAGAATATGTGGGCACAGTCCAAAACTAGCCTAGAAGGGGCGAGAGAAATTATAATAAAAAACAGGCGAATAGCATATATATAGCATAAGCATTAAATTAAGTATAGGGCGAATTATATACTATCATCTGAATCTTTGTAGTCGTTTGGGGAACCCACATTCACCTAGCACAAAATTATTCTTTTGAAGTTCCAACCAAAAGACTTGGCCGGGTCTGGAATTTCGAAAATAAAAATCAGCCGATTTGGTGGGAGATGTTGTGTATTTAGAAGAGGAGTGCGGATTCGATGATTTGTTCTTGCTTATGGTGGAGTATAGTCAATATTAAATTAAATCTTGAACAACAAATACACTGCCACGCAAAACTAACGCGATAAACAAAATTTTTAGAAAAGTTGTGCCTTAAAATTCTCATACGATGACACATTATTCAGTAATCCAATGTTTCCACAGGGTGTTCAGAAATTTAGGGCAAAATCCACCTTTTAGTTGCACCCTGTATAACAACAAACATTTTCAATTTTTTGCCAGATTGGCAGTCGATAATGGTGACAACGAAATTGCCCACAACTTGACGAAAAAATTAACGAAATTGATGCAAAGGTTAAGAAGTTATTTCAAATTTAATTTGAACAAAATTTTGTTGTTGACCTTCTGGTTGCGATTCTTACTGACCACTGCAGATTAAACGGATACCTATACATCTTGGGAATAGCAGAAGTCCCTGTCTTTTCAACAGAAATTACTTAGGATTGCTAGTGGATTTAGAGTATCAGCATAATATGATTAGAATACGTTGAAAGGCTATTGAAATAATTATACAAATATACAAGCAAAATAGAACGTACCTACCTCCAAATCATCCTCATCTTTCTTTCTCCCTCCTTGCTGATATTCTTTGAGTAGATAATAGGCCGCTTTGGAATGGTCATATCGACGCATTGGTTGTGCAACATCTTTGCTCTCGTATGGTTTGACATAGTTCACGCCTCCCGGATGGTTGTTCAGGAATTGATATATATTGTACGTGTTTGATTCATAGTCGATTTTGAACTTCGTGTCTTCTCCATCATAGATGCAGGTGTCATTCTGGCTCATTCTATTCTCTGGAGACAAAGATACCATGAATTAAGTGTTGGAAATTCGTGCAAAACGGAGCTTGTTTGTCCTAGGTACCCAAGAAACCATGCATTAATTGCATGAACTATATAATCATGCTAACAAAAAGAACTTGTCCACTGACCATTCTTCCAGTTTTAATGGTTATCTTGTGTATCTACGTCACATTGAAATTAAGCCAGAAAAAATCACTTATGAATAGTATAAATAATAATCTAAAATTATGGTACCCTAACGTTCGTTCTTTAACAGCAGGTTTTAATGAATTTGTTTAACTTATCAATGACCAATTTGATGCAGTCGGAGTAACTGAGACCTGGTGGAACTGCGATATTCCTGATCGTGTCGTATCGCTCTATGGCTATATTTTTACTCCCGATGCCAAAACTAGTGAAGAAGTATTGTAATCGCAAACATTTCGAAATTGAGATATTATGCTTTTTGGTGTTACATGACATGTACATCACGAAGAACCATGTCAATAATTTTCGTAATACCGCTCGGAGTTTGATGAAACTTTCGCGAAGGGTTACTACTATACCAAGAATGAAAAAGCTTTGAAGTTATTGAAAATCGGTCTACTGGTGACGGAGCTAGTGGCAAAGACACAAGAAGATCAAAAACTTCGTTTTTCGGGTACTGATCATTTTCGGATTTTTTTTGTACGGTTTAAAACTTGGTGGTTGGGGGTTGTAGGGGGCAGGGATGGTGAATGTAACGTCTCTTGTGTTAGTTAAAGACGTTCTATCATTGACAAGCGTCTGATCCCGATAACAATCGGAAAATTAAATGATATAAGTCCGATGTATACTGTGCACATAATTCCAAATAACTTGGCAATCATTGGCGTTGCGTGCACGGCGCGATGTTGCAGCGTCATGATGGACACTGCCGACTATGCAAAGTGTAACAATCTCCACCTGGTTTGAGGTGGTGACACCGCTGACTTCGCTATAGTAGAAATATTTATATAGGTATTTTAGCAATATATGGATATTAGAAGCACGTACCACTTTAGCGTTCTGCGACGCTGTTGTAAACTATGACAACTGTTTTTAAAACTATACATATATTTTTCTGAATTTTAGGATCCTTAAATCTACCGCCCACTCCATCTAATCTTTAATTGGTTCGAGTATCATCGCAAGTTTAATCCTTCCATCGTTTAGGTAGTCCTAGATTTTGAAAATGATTTCTTCCTGATTATTTTGAGACATTGTTTGGAGGGGATGAAAATTGTACGTTGGAAGCTGTATGCGGTAAGTGGTTGTTGCATATTACTATTTGGTGTCAGTGCAAGGCCTTTTAATATTAAGAAGCTGCTGATCTTAGTGAGCACCTGTTTCACATAAGCGACGCATATTTTCCCTTCCACGAAAACAAATATGAAAGATCAACTTGATGGCATTTTATAGGAGAGAATGTTTAGGCAGCGGAGGTGGTCTCGGTTTGAATATAAAAGGGAATATTACCTGCCAAGTACTAAACATAGATTTTGCTATTAACACGTCACTTGGAATTTTATGCTGTAAACTAGTGTTAAGCAACTGCAACTTTTTTGATGTCGTATATCGTTCGACTCATTGTTCAATTAATCAATTCATTCCGACTATTGATAATTTACTTTCATCTTTTATTCAGTGGACGTTGCATGAGTGGATATTACAAATAGATACATAAACTTCATCACATAATGCCGGGTCCACAATAAACCAACCAAACGGCAACTCAATGTTTTTCAACAATTAAGCAATAAATCGGCAACATTTCGTCAATAATTCGTGTTTTGTTTATGTTTCTGGCAACTTTTGGCGTTCCCGTCGCGAGTCGGTAACGATCAAAAGGTCTCTGTTTTGTTTTCATTTCAGGGAACATTGTCGGTGTACTTTGTTGCGAACCAAATATAAAACAGGAACTAGTATTAAATTCGAAGGCGCTGTGTAGGGTGTTTAAAAATAAATACGCAGTATGTCGGGTGAAAAATTAAAGTGGACTGTCGACAACACGAATAAATTAATCGAACTATATGAGAAGTATCCTATATCTTAGGCCCGTATCGTCAGTCGTCCCTTTATGGCCTCCTTGATTGTCATAGTTTTCTACTTCTCCGTGTCAGAACTCTATTTTGAGGTTATGTCACAAACATCTATTTGCATCAAATTGTGCTTGCTTTTGAGTTAAATCATGATTTATCAGCCTGAAATTTCCTACAATTTAAAAAGAAAACATATCCTCACAATAGGAGAGCGCTGACGCTGACACGGGACAAGTGTAATCTAGAAATTTTTGAAGGAGAGAAAGGAGTATGACAATCAAGGAGGCCATAAAGGCGCCCTACAATTGTAGGGACGACTGACGATACGGGCCTTAGTGTTACGGCCAAACCTTCAACTACGTTAATGGCATTTCTGAATTTGGTATTTTTTATAAATTTCAGGACCGATCAGGTATATTAATTCTTCAAGGTTTTCACTGGAGATTCTTAAAAAGTTATAGAAACTAGAACGCATTTCTCATCAAAATTAAATATCTTTACGCAAATCGGACAATATTTTTCAATACCACGATCTTTTTTTTCACGTAAGGATGGTTTCACCCGAAAGCGTTTTTTATTTTCGCAGTCACAACTCTAGAGAAACACATAACCAGCAGTCATTATGATAAAATCTTTGCGCTTCTGCCTTTCAGCATAAAAACGCCACATATTTTCAATCTGAAAATCTTCGGTGTGAACTGCACGAAACAAAACAACTGAAAACTTTTTTGTCTCTTGGAAATTGTGGACATAAGTTTTCATTTTGTTTTGTTTAAAAAAAGTTGCTCATTTGTTACGTTTCTGTTTTGTTCCTTGTTTTTGTTTTGTTGCTTTGATGTGGACCCCGCATAAGAATTAAAAATTCATAGTAGTGTCAAATCATGCCACTGTAGCATACATGAGTTTTTGATAAAAAGAAAAAAATTAGCTCAATAATATCGCGGGCGAATTGAGTGATATAGACTTATGCCTTCGGTGATATCAACTCTTCCACGCACAACCGAATTATATATGTGTGCTTGGATAGTTGTATCTTGTTGGTTTGCTGAGTCTTAAAAACATTTTATTGCAAAATTTATTGAGCTTTCATCATAAGGGGTTGCTTATTTCATCTGACACTCTGAATGCTTGCATGCAAAGTATTGTCAGCCATTTAGCTGTGGATCGGATTTATATCACGATTTTTTCTTCTTTTGGCGGAAATCAGACTTTATTGTACATCTAGGTATTTATCTATACAGTGTGTCCCAGATTCGCTTCTTTATACAGAGATCGCGGCTCCTGTTATACCTACAGTAAAGATTAAATGGGGACAGTTTTAGAGGTAAATTGGTGCATTCGATAGCCGGCTTGAGATTTAAGATCGGTCAATTGGTTTAGGAAATATCGGCGAATAACCGAAAATGTCGAATTTCGTTTTTTGACAGTAAATCCGAGTCAGCTAATTTGACAGCTGTCAAAATGTGACATTATGCGGACATTTTTTAGGGTGAATAAGATAGCGTGTATAACATGTCTCAATGTCTTTTGTTTTCCCGTAACCTGCCTCAACTTTCATTTTTCTTATGGCGGCCATATTTCATTTTTAGATTTTTGAAAAGAGCGCAAAATTTCCAGCCTAGTGATGTCTCACAGGTACATAAAAGATCATCGAGATATCATCACACGTAATGATATGTATTAATTTTTTTCTTAAGGAGACCATAACAATTTTATTATATATATTTATGATTTTAATGAGAGAAAACGTACCTACTACTTATTAAGACACAATTGAATTTGAATTGAATTATTTAACGTCAAAGTCAGAGCCTCCTTAGATGAAAAAGGTGCGCTACTTATTAATTTTATTTTCTGCCCAATTATGGGCTCATCAGAAAATAACTAATACGTAACATTACGGGTGATAATATGTCGGTGATACTCCAATCTTTATGCACTTGTGAGACATCACTAGACTGCAAATTTTTCGCGCTTTGTCGCTGGAAAACATAAGACGATATTATCATGCTATATTATTTTTCTTAAAAAAAAAATCCGAATAATGTCACATTTTGACAGCTGTCAAATTATCCGTTTTGGATTTACTGGAAAAGAACAAATTCCGTCATTTTCGGTTTTTTGCTGATATTTTCAAAACCGATTGAGTGATCCTAAACCTGAAGCCGGCTATCGAAAGCTCTCAGTTTCCTTTAAAACTTTCCTCATTTTACCTTTGCTGTAGGTATAACAGGAGCTGGGATCCCTGTATAGAAAAGCGAATTTGGGACACACTGTAGACATCCCAGCCTGCCTCTGCCTCTATATCAGACGAGAGTTGTTGACACGACAGATACTTGTGAATGTGCGAACCTTAGAATGAGGTCCTATTGTGGGAAGAGTGCAATCAATATTTGAGTATTTCAATCCCGGAAGAGGCCTATTTACCTGCATTTTATGGCTTGTACGGATTTGAGTGCAGAAAGCATCTGGATTGGAGCATTGCTGTAAAGTTGTATATCTTCGGATGGTAACTGGCTTTAAAGCTATCTATGAAACGTCAGAACTGGTATTTCTTATGTATACTAAAATTATGTAGAATTTCATAATCAAATTGATTAGACTGAAGTTACAAAGAGATCGTTAGGTTTCTCGTCTACTTCCGTAAGGTAAGTATTTTGAGCTTTTAAAAAGACCATACCCACTTGTCTACACTCCGGTCATCTGTCTTTAGGACTATTAGACCTATACCGCTCTGATGAGTTGCTAGTGAGTACCAAACAGCGCTGTCTGAGGTTGATAGTGGTTACAGAAAGGGGAAGCAACATGCTCATTTCAACGAGCTTATATTTCTCAGGTTTATTGAATAGGTTTCTTATACAGGTATAAAAAATGCAGTATAGCTCAATTGTTATTTATTGTCATCCAAATAATCTGCAAATTTCAAATTGTTGCTATTACTTTTTCGAAGAA